TTTTGTATCATAACTCATCTGTTGTTTACTAATCGGCACATATGGCAGTAAACCAGCAAGCTGCTACATTTACAAGATTTGCAACTCACTGAACTACAACAGTGTCTGTGTTCACATGAGCAATGAGGAAAAGAAAACAAACAGGAGCCAAGACCTCAACAGATTGACTATTTTTATAATCAAATAACCTCCCGAACACACATAAACACAACTGGCAAAAACATAAAACATTTGCTAGTTCCTGTTTGGTCCTGTGCGGTCTGACCAGTAGAGCAGATTCCTCCCTCAGGAAGCAGAGCAGCAGGAAAATTTCCATGAAGGCAAAATAGATGACGGTGTGATAAACTCAAGCCTGCTCCATGGGAGATTTTTTTTTTTTAATAATTCTTTGATTTCTAAATATGTTAGAAAACACTTTCCAACATATTTCCTTGACTACAGAATGAGGTATGGGTATGGTGAATGGTTTTAATGGTATTTTTAATGATAATGCTTATCAGTCCATTACTTTAATGGTATTTTTATCGGTACTTTCTGAAGAAGAAATGAATCAAATTAAAAACAGAACTGAATTTACATCACATCATGATTTTTTCCAAGCTATTTTCTAAACTAAGGCTAATGTACTGTATTAGCATACTGTTCCTCTCAGCAATTTTTACACATAAACAAAACAAAGTTCAACACGTTTAATGAGGGATTAGAGAACCAGAGGAGCTGTTAAAGACTTAATAGTCTTTCACTTATTCAGCTAATATTCATCCACCTATGACCGCTACTCAGGGGTACTTAAATCAGATTAGATATGATCCAGTGCTCTCTCACTGCTACAGACAGGACTGGCTTCGTGTGCTGGATGCGGGTAATAAAACTTCCTGTTCCATCTCTGCTCCTGTCCACTTCTGTTGGTGGTTTGGGATAAATGGATTTTTTCTAGTTGCGATTAATTTAAATCAGCTAACCGTCTGTTAAAGCAGCTGCTTACTAATAGCTTTAGCCTGCAACGTTTATATTTTATAACCACTTTTATCAGTTTTTGGATCCTGTTAAGCAACAAGACACACACCTCGTTCCTTGACTGTAGAATGTTTTTTTTCCTTTTTTGTTTTGAGGGCATGTTAATACGTTCGAAAACAGATCTGATACAGTGCAGAATTTTAAATCGTGTCTTAGAAATTTAGTAAAGCGTCCTCATTTATGAAGAACTTGTTGACTTTGCCAATGATAAATCAATCATTAATCACTATCAGAAATGTCTGTTCTTCCACATGAGCACCGGACTTCCTCTACAGCTTTATCCTGTTTTGTTCTGATTTCCTCAGTTTGAGATATATTGCTTTATACAGACACTTTATTATATATTTGCCACTTTTTGACATTTTATTTAAATGTTAACTTTTTTTTTTTTAACTTGCATTGTATTTTATTGCATTAGACTTTTACTTATTTAGCGCCTTCACTTTAGTTTTCTGAACTCTTTTGAACTCTTTTGTTTACAGGTTGAGTTAATTTTTGGCGGTTGTAACAAAGAAATTTTCAGACTTTTGGGACAATAATGCACTTGTTATCCTATCCAGACTTTGTTCATTTAAATCAAATTAGAGGATAGGGGCTGATATCTAACTCTAAAAAAAACAACCCTACTTTAAAAAAGGTTCAGTAAAGGACTTCAAAGGATTACATTTCAACTAAATGCTACTGAACCCCACGCACGAGACACATGGCACAAAGTCCTCATTTGCTCTCTCCACAAGTCCTAGAAAATCCCCCAAAACACAACCCCAAACGAAGTGCAGAATCGCCTCTTTTCTACTTCAATCCCCCCGAAGGAGCACATTAAGCTCTGATTATCAAGATTAAAAAGATAAAAGTCTGTGACACTGAAGCTCAAGACACAGGGGGGGTTGGAGGTGTATGCCACCTTCATACAGTCTAATCCCACAATAACCAAGCAGGCAGATTGTGTGAAAGTTTCCAGCTAATGCAGAACTCTCACCACGAGTAAAGATAAGACATTCTCACAGCTTCTCATCGAGAATTACACTTTGTGGTTTGTCACTCATTGCACATCTTTGAAACTACAAGCAGCTGTTTGCGTTTGCAACTCCAACATGTAGCACGGTTGACATCGCAGCGCTCTCTGCATACAGAGAGAGCCCAGACGTCCTCAGTCAGAACGAAACAGAAACAACAGACAGCTCGTTTTACAACAGGGTGGAGGCCAGCGGGAAGATCTTGTAGACTTTACCGTCTGAGAGGCAACACGCCTCAGCAGCCCACACATTCAACTCCACAAGTCAGCTCGAAAAGCAGCTGAACAAGCTCCTTCGCAGGTTGAGATCACACAGCAGCCACAGCCACTCTGCAACTCCAAAACTGTCATTTAGTTGCACTTTTCTAGTGAATATTGTGTGAAATGCACTGCAGTGTCACCATACTGCACAGCACCCCTTTGGGTTTTTTGGATTTTTATTTTTATTTTATTTTATTTTATTTTTTTGGGGGGGGGGGGGATTTTCCAACTTATGAATGACATTTCTAGGACACTCTACATACATACCTTTCAGACCACAGAGGTTGGCGAAGTGACAGACTCTTATGCCTTCCTGTGAAGCCTTTCCTTCCTAAGCCGTCATTAATTGCTGAGAGGTGCAGACTAAATATAAATAAATTTGCATGGACTTTTGAGTTTAGTGATGGGGAAGTTCCCACCTATTATGCTTTCTCTTTTGTGAGAGTGGCACCTTTCACCAAGACGCAATAACATAACATCTGCATTTTCTGTTGTGTTTTTTTCTTTTCTTTTCCCCCCCTCAGCACATTTTCACGTCCTTGAAGTCTGAGGCGAACTGATTGCAGAAAAAGGAGGAATAACTGATGAGAACACTGACAACTCCTGTAATACGAAACCAGATTAAAACCCATCTTAAAATTTGTCAGGTAAAAATCTACACGTGATTTGGGGTTAAAAAAAACAAAAACACCAAAATCAAATTCTGTTTATTGACTGATCGGTTTGGAAACTACACGCTTTAACCAGCTAGTATACTTGCTGACCTCTAAAACGACATGAAAAGTCAAGCAAAGCTCGTTCCTGCACTTTAGAGCCCATAAACTTACATTAACGTTTTCAGAGTATTGCCAGACCAACTTAAAAGGTGTAAATATTATATTCATGTGGCATTTAGTCAGTGTATAAAATAGATTTAAAAAAAATGGAAACAAGTAGAAAACACCGGAAACATCAAGAGTATCAAAGGTGAAAAAAACAAACGCCACCTGAGGAAGTAACGTCCACCGAACTCTGAATTATTTGACGTTAGTATTTTTAAAACATATTGTATGATTTTAAAATGTATTATTTAAAACTGTTCAAAGAGTGGGGAAACTGAAATATATCAGGAGCCCTGTTAAACAACAGTATTGTGTCTCTACGCATTTATGCTTAACTGCGCCTTTCCCCCACCGAGAACCTAGTTTGCCGTTAGCCATTTTCTACTCACTTTGTCCTCCTCGGGAATAAGAGTTTCGGCGTCCTTCTTCACATCTTTCTGTGCCAGAGCCGTGTTAAATGATACCTTGACCATCTTGAAACAAGTGGTGACAATCTCCGACAGAAAGTGGGGAAAAAAGCAACACAACAAAAAGCAAACAACAGCAAAGAGAATTTGCTCCGAAATAAAAAGAAGTCGCACTTCTTCCCCGGCCAAGTCTGTTGTTGTGATAAGAGCGACGTAAAGCTAGACTTAGAGTGACCGTGCTTCCGGCCTTCAAAATAAAAGCATATCCACGACGATTAGTCTGAGACGTTCCGACATTTGACTGAAATACGAAGCAAAATGGCACAATCCAGGCTTAAAACTTAGCTTACAAGCAACATCAATGTGAAACTATGTAAACATCTGTATCTACGTGCTTTATTATACCTTATTATACTTGCTTTTATTATGCTTTATTTTATAGCCTCTTCTATGTACGACATGTATTTCAAAACGATTTACAACAGGCCGAGAAGCACAGGCAATGGGAATGCAAGATAAACAACAAATAAAACAATGCAGAAAACATTAAACGAAAAACTCAGTTAACATATTTAGTACTATACCTACTTAAAAGAACATATAAATGGCTGTTAAATAATAAAATAGATAAATAATACAAAAAAGGCATGTAATAGACTAAAATGTTTTATTTAAATATAGAACATTAAAACTGTGCAAATATTATGAAAGTGATTAGATCACGACTGTTGCTCTAGTACCTAGAGCTGTCAATAAATATTATATAATTTACTTCCGAAATGTAATGGATTACATACACTAAACTCAAGACTTTATTACTATGACTATAATTTATAGAGTTTATTACTTTGCTGGGATATATTTGCATAACCAACCCGTCAACACCAAAGAGTGGGGTGGGGGGGACAATCCGAGATACGCACACACACACACACACACTGATTAATACGGTAAAAGTAAGGCAGGGGCGTCAAATACCCAGGGACCAGAATCAGTTGCCAAATACTCTCCAATCTGGCCCCTGGGACAACTTTTTAAACTGTATTTTCATAAGTTTTATGAGTTTTATTACTGATCAAAAAACTCCCGCGTGACCACTCACCTAAAGTAAATAAAGAATGAATACACAAATGACACTTTTTTTTACTGTTATTCAAATTTATCATTTTTGCAGTGGCCTTTACAGGAAAAATACAAAAAACAAAAATTCTTTCAACTAACAAAAATGTTCTGTTTTTATAAGTAAAAGACCATCTGTGCCATAAGCTAATGGAACTTTTTCTGTATTAATACATTTGGATGTAAATTTTATACAATTAACGTAATTAGTGGAAGTAATTTATGCATTTATTTCTTACGGTTTAAGCCCAAATAGTTGTGCTGAAAAACTTTAGTATTTCTCTGTAATGCAGAAAAACTGAGATGTATTGTGTAATGTGTAGTTAAACTTTTTTGCAATGACAGAAATGACAGTTAAGATCAAATCTGGCTTTATATTTACACAAGGAGTTTGATATCCCTGCCATAACATAAGAGAAAATAAGAAAATTAACATAACGACACGAACTTAAATTATGACTAAAAACTGGTAGTGTGTTAAAGAAATAACATTCAACATAAAAATCCAAAATTTAAATAATTTAATGGGCTTCAAGGAAATATACACATTTTTGATTTACAGAAAAAAACAGAAGAACTGTCAGTTTTACCTGATGAGCTATATAATGAATTCAGAATATATCTTATTTCTTTGATTCAAATATCTCAACAAACCACGTGAATAAAATTAGGCTGTAATGTGAGTTCTCATCTGCGAAAGACAATATCCAACCACGAAATACAGAATCACAGTACACAGCTTGCTAGAGAAAAACGTTTTATGTATTTTATCTTTTAATTACTGTGGCACTTTTCCCTTTTTGTATAAATGCTTGCATTACATAAACTTTTATTAAATTTTAAGCAGGTTTGCACTTATTTTGACGGTCCGGAAGTTTCTTCAGTTTCGGTTTGCGCTGTCTACGGCCTGACCGGGGGAAACAGCCTACATCTGGGAAACGGCTCTTTCCCCCTGGTCGGAGAATATGGGAACAAAATAAAATAAAGCTGTGTGAACACATTTATATACAGTGACAAAACAAAACAAAAGATTAATACAATTCTTTCTCGCCAGCTGGAATGTGTGATATACTAAAAAAAAAAACACACACACACACACACACAACAACAGTGAAAAAAGGATGCCAGAAGTACTGTACTCATTTTTATTTTCAAGCGCTTGAATCGTTACTTGAATATTTCCACTTTATTCCCCGTCATAATAATATATATATTATCAACCTTTCCAACTTAATGTACTCCTTATTTTTTTGGTGTTGCTTTTCGCTTGAATGAAGGTGAAATACGCTGATAATAGAAACAATATTTGATGCTCTTACTTGTGTAAATGAGAGGTAACCTGTAATTAAAAACATAGGTCTGATAAATAAGTGCAGTGCATTAAAACGTTAAAAAAAAACAGGAGGAATTTATTTGGAGTAGATGAACTGAGTACAAATTATTGAGAATTATAGATTACATTATAGATATATAAATAAGGCACCATAAGTCCAGGTTAGAATATGACTGCCAATAATACTAATAACGCCAATAAATGCTACGGAAGTGAGAACAGGAGTCATATCTCTAGCATACCCTAGAGACCAAAACGCAAATTGCCCGAAAACAACAAAGACCACGAAGAAGAAGATTTTGGAACGTCATTTCCTGTCTTGCGCAAACCAGAGGAACGAAAATAAACATGGCGGCGGCGGAGAAATCGACGAAGGAGAGACTGCTGTCTGTGCTGGATGATTTGGAGGTTTTATCCAGGTAAAATTAAACTTCGTGCGAGCGTTTTCTCGTGTCTCGTGTAAACTGTTTGGTAAGCTATCAGTATTTTATCTGTGAAGAGATAAAATACTCGGAGCCGTGAACTAGCACCCCCAGTTTGTGCTGATTACTAGCAGACATGCCGCTCATTGGCCGAGCCTACGGCTTTTCTGAAAGAAAGATAACGAGCTCTGGGATTTGAAACAACCTGAAACACTGTTATAATTTTTCTGTTGGAAACTGTTAGCAGTTAGAAGACTCCATTTTATAAAACAAGGTTGTTGAAGAGTTTGTAGGTACTACACTCTACGGCTAATAGTCATTTTCAAAAGGAAATATGTCTGTGAAGGTTCTCATTCATCCAGGTCATCGTAGTCTAAGGAGCTTGGAAAGAAAAGGGTCTGGACTTCTTTGAGACTGGGACTCTCCACCATTGGACCCTTAGAACTGAAGAAGCTTCTCGGATGAGAGGTGAAACGTCTTCAAGCAACTCAAAGAAGTCCAGGCGCTTTTCTTTCCAAGCTCCTTAGACTTTCAAAAGGAAACTACCACAAGAATGGCCAAAATGACTAATCAGAGAAACAAAGCGAACATAGGCGTACAGAAAACGATCACCAGTATGAGCTTTAAAAAGTAAATAAATATATAAACATAGAAATTTGATTTGTTGGATTGAAATGTGGTTTTTGACCATTTTTAATTGTGTGTGTGTGTGTGTTCATTTCAGGGAGCTGATAGAGATGCTGGCATTGTCCAGGAGTCAGAAAATGCCTCAACCTGGAGAGGACACGCAGGTAACACCCCACTCAGCCTTTAGTTGACACACGGAGATTTAAACAAACTAATGACCATCACAGTGGCTGTCAGACCATGCGTAGTCCTAGGGTTAGTGGTGATCAAAGGCCTTCTAGAAGCAAGTCTCACTATGTGGCAGCTATTCTAAAATGTCTCTAGCTATATATTTGGTCAGTGTTGTGAAACACTGTCCAGTTTGATACTTGTCTGCCACTCGGTGTCTGTATTTTTCCAGTTTCTGGTACTTGATCTTCAAGTTCTTTGTGGATTTGCACAGTCTTTTGTTTTTTGCTGTTTTAAAGTTTTGGTGAGACATGATCACGGATACAGGATCACTGTTTAAGGACAAACCTGTGCTTAATTGCTAAGCATAATATTTTTTTTAAAAATTTAAGCATTTAATTTTAATGCTGTCACATTTAAAGATATCTAGTTCCTTCCAACTGATTTTCTGTCATCCATAAATCTTTCATAGCTTTTGAACCTTTTATTGTGTTAGACATGAGTGATTTTAGTTAGTTACACTAACCTGTATGAAGCCTATGAAATAGGAAATCTTTGATAACAGAATGTGTTGATGCTTTATCCATAAGATCCTGGAGCTGTTGGTGCAGAGGGACAAGGAGTTTCAGGAGCTGATGGAGGTGGCCCAGCAGCAGGGGAAGGTTCACCAGGAAATGCAACTGCTGGAGAAGGAGGTGGAGAAGAGAGATAGTGACATCCAGCAGCTCCAGAAACAACTGAAGGAAGCAGAACACATCCTGGTGGGTTTGGCTTGTCTCTTGTTGTATTTTTTTTTTATCCAGAGCAGGGCAGCGCTGACAGATTGAAATAAATGCTCAAATGTTGTATGCTGGTGTAGCTGATACTGTGCTCTTACAGCAGAGGTGTTCAGGGTTATAGTGTTGCTATTGTAATGTAAAGGGGCCTATGATTCTCTTCTTTTTCTGATATACCGTGTTACAGATGTTCATATTAAACATGGCCAAGGTTTAAAATAATGAGGCCAGCATACGAATAGTCATAATAAACAGAAACTACATCTTCTTTAAATTCTAATATCATGTGAGAAGTGATAAAGAGGATTGATATATTTCTGTCTATCTGTTTCAGGCCACTGCTGTTTACCAGGCAAAAGAGAAACTGAAATCCATCGAAAGAGCCAGGAAAGGTGAGGGAACACTCCCGACACGTTCTGGTGAAAGCTATGTTTGATGGCTGGTTTTCTCTTTGATGGCTTGCCCATAAATTGACACTGTTTACATGTTTTCTGCAGGAAGCATCTCATCAGAAGAAATCATCAAGTATGCTCACAGAATCAGTGCCAGTAACGCTGTGTGTGCTCCTCTCAACTGGGTGCCAGGTATGTGCCAGGCTCTCTGTATCTCACACTGGGTGTTGGTAAAAGTTCATGTTCAGCTTCATTCACTGTTGTCATACTTGACAGGTGATCCACGCAGACCGTACCCTACCGACCTGGAAATGCGTAGCGGGATGCTTGGTCACATGGCCAACCTGTCCACCAATGGTGTGAACGGTCATCTGCCAGGAGACGCGTTAGCTGCTGGGAGGTTACCAGGTAAGTTCAGCTGAGCACTTAAAGGAAGGAGTACCCATGCCTCCTGGCAAAGAGATTTTAGATGAGGTCAGAGGTTTGTTACGGTGATTTCAAAATGTATCATTTATCAATTTATCATTATCCATCCTTATCCATCCTTTAAAAAGTTAAAGGACATTCAGACTGCATCTACATCAAGCTCTGTAACATAAGAAACTTGGCAAAAAGTACCAGCTTTCAGATACTATATAAGGGAGCTGAGAGAGAGGCTGAGATAAGTAGTGTCAGTCAGTGTTTGGCATTTCACAGAATAACCATTTTTCTCTCGTGTCACCTCAGACGTCCTGACGCCTCATTACCCGTGGCAGTCGTCTGATGTCTCAGTGGGGATGCTGCCCCCTCACCACGGCAATGACTTTGGCCTGGAGCCTCCGGGTCACAACAAGGAGAATGAAGATGATGTAGAGGCCATGTCCACAGATTCCTCCAGCAGCAGTAGTGACTCCGACTAAAAGCGTGTCTCAGAGTCAAGAAATGCTGAGACGTGTGTGTGTGTGTGCGCGCGTGTCTGTTTGTTCGACTTAAAGCTCACCAGCGAGCAACATCTGAGCAGGCATCTTCAGCTTCAGTCATTTATTGTGCCTTTGAGAAATAGATTTTTTAAAATGTACCCTTTTTGAATATTAGTGAGTTTATGGTGTTAGTAGGTGGATTATGTTCCCTTTGGACAGAACCAGGCTAACTGGCGTTATTATACAGTTCAGTGAAACTACTGTATAAACTAGAACTAGCAAAAATGAAGAACGTGTCATTCTGGACTCCTACATGAAAGAAGACAGACCAAAGAATATCCTTCAGAAAACAAAGACAATAATTTGCCTTCTTTTGCTCTTTGGTGACACCGTGTGTGAGAGACTTGATGTCTAATTTTAGTTGGTCACGGTCAGAATGTTTGCAGTGTAGTATAAGTTGTGTAAATATGCCTGTAAATACTCAGTCTTGTAAATAAATACTTTTTGAATACAATTTTTTTTCTACTCTTTTTGTGTCTGGATTTGTGGATTTGTTGTTTTGCTATTCATGTTTAGGAACACCAACTTTCAAATGTTCCTGAACAGCATTAGATGGAAGCAGATACAGTCAGAGGTCATCTCATCCATTACGATTCAGTACATTTCATGGTGCAAGGTGTTTGCTGTATGTTTTTATTTATCAAATCTTTGAAAATCTGAACTGACACGTGCTGGAACACTATTTCTCACTGGAAGTGGAAGTAGAACATAATGCAAAAGAGCAATAAGTACATCAGGGCCATCTTGCATTTGACATCGCTTTTTTGAGTGGAAAGATAAGGAGATAATAGAGATACAAGCCAGAAATTAGCACTGGGTAGAAAAGGTTTAATTTCTTGTTACATACAAGTGGAACTAATGTCAGAGTGCAACACGATGCCTACATGTTGTTTTTTAAATGAGCCATGAGATATGACTTCATTTATTCATTTACAAGTTTATACTTGACACTAAGAATTGTATTTATTTAGGTTAAAGGGCGGAAGGAGTCTTTATTTACAGTATGTTGAGGCAATGATAGTGCTGCCTTCAGGAGCTCACTGTAAAACACTATGTTATTGTATACTATGGTTAAAGATTGAAATAAAGATTTGTTTTTGCAGTATGCTATTAAAATTATGTGATGTAGCCTATTTGAGTTTTTGCAGTGTTATGAAAAGGGGAAATAGGCACGAAGTGGATATTTAAAACAAATACATTTAGCTACTTTTTAAATGCTCATTTTTATTCTTTAAAGTAAGTACGCATATTTTCAGATATTTGAACACACACCAGCAGTATACTACCCTAACCCTGAGTCCTTCATCCATTGTACAATGGTAGTAATAAGGCCAGACTAATAAAAAAAAACAATAACAAATTGTGTTCATTTTCAGATTTTGGTTGAAAATTTGACATTACATTTGAAAAACTATTTTGAGGGGGAAAAGGCGAAATGTGGAGATTGCACATTGTGTTTATGGTTAAAAATAAACAATTTACTTGTAACATAAATCAAATCTGAAGTACGATTTTACTAGTTCATCTACGCAAGGCACTTTGTAGAGGGCTTTAATCTCTACATTTCGACTTTATTCTCAAAATACTAATTCCTAGTTTTTACAAAAATAGTGTATATATGTGTGTGTGTGTGTGTGTGTGTGTGTTTATACGTATGTATTTTCTTCTTTTTATTTGGCCATAACATTCCTTTCATGGGACTGAACGTTCCGACAGCATTTGAAATTACCAGAGGGGAGGGCGTCTTTGGAATCGCACTACGCGTGCGCGTTCAATCCACTTTGCTGTAGAGGGAGACATGGCGACGTCCCTGATTTGCGGCCGTTTGACGGCTAGCCTGAGAACTTCAGGGGCTAGAAACACTATTAGCTCCGCTTGTAAGGTAAGTGTGTATCCACAACGGAAGACAACGTTTGGGCTTTCATGGAATGTGTCTGTTATGGCACCACACCTTCCCCGAGGGTTAAAAGTTCTACGAATCTGACAGGGTCAAATTTGACATTAGCACAACTCGATTGAGTTTCCGTTATTTTGGCTAACACGCTAACTAGCACATAATTAGCACGGCCGGCTGTCAAATCTGCAGATTAAGCAGTAAACGGCCAAAGAATCACTGTGCCCTTAGTCTTTTCTGTAGCCGTACACTTCGTGTGGCTGTGAACGGCATTCTTGGTGGAGGATATGCTCAGTGAAGCTCAGTGACCTCCACCGGCAGCTGCTACAGCTTCCATCCCAGCGATTCCTCCCCCATGACATCTGTCCCGCTGGGTCTTCTTGGGAAGTTATCTGGCCAAATCCGCTCAGGCTCGGAAGCATAAACAGCTTTCACTGCAGACATACGCTGCAAATATACAACGGGGGGAACAGCAAGATAAAATGACGGAAGAGATCTAACCGGGAAGAGCGCGCAATTCAACCGGGAGTCCATTACACCAGGGCCCCCATAAGATAGAGCCTGACCAGCAAAACTCTGAATACTCTACACTGAGCAGAATTACGTTATTTATGTATTGGTGGGAGGCTTTGGGTCTCGACATTCCAGCCTAAACATTGCTGCAGACACCTGACACCACAGGACAAACTCAGTGGTCTCATGGCTGTGCTCTGGCAGTCCGGAGCTGTTTTGGAAGCATGAAGAGGACCTACACAATACAAAACAGCTGGTTTTAGTGTTTTGTCTTATCGGTGGTAAACGTATCAGCATTCTTAACAGAAGTCTTTGTGACATCTTAGGTGAAAGTTTGAAATGCTTGTAAAACTTATTTTGACACATTCTGTTCAGATAACATCAGCAAAGCTTTACATTTGTTTTACTAAAAAGGTATCTGCAGGTTGTTGAAGCTCTCTAAAAGCACTGCAATCAGTTCTTTTGTCCAAAACTCGGAATACGCTATTTAGTGACACAATATTAGCATTTTTTTCAGCTAAAATTTTTTTATAGGATACTGGTTTGAAAGATGGTTGAAAGGTGTAATATAGATCAACGAAAAAGAACGGTGATCTTTAAATTGTTTCATTCTGTTTAGGCTACCTGTCAGGACTCCGTTTGCCTACATTTGTATTCATCAATAGGAATTTTTGAGTTATCCATCTGGAAATGTGATATAATGTATATTTTAATTGCAGTATTGTTCTGGGTTTTCATTTTGGATGGTGTAACAGTGAAATAATACATGTGTTACACTTTATGTGGTTGCAAGAGGGACTTTAAAAGTCTTACTTGAGTAGCCAACAAAAAGTCTTCAGTTGCTCCCTTTTTTTCTGTTCATTATAATCTTGATAGTGTGTGCACACCTATTAGAGTTAATAATGTCTGTTTACACACACTTTTGCTTGTGATATAATTTTATATAGTGTGTAAAGGTAACAGAACAAAGTAATGTTAGTTTGACTAATTGTCTGGTATCTGAAACCTCAAAAACCTCGACAGGTTTAGTTCTTCTTGTTGTGTTTTAGCTAAACACTTACTTCAGTCACAGGTACGCCATACTGGTACCAGGGGGGGATGCCTTTTGGCCTTCAGAACTGCTTTAATTGTCTGTGGCACAGATTTAACAAGTGGCTGGAAACATTCCTTAGAGATTTTAGTCCATATTGACATGGAGCATCACACAGATGCAGATTTGTCAGCTGCACATTCATGGTGTGAGTCTCTTGTTTCATCACATCCCAACGGTACTCTGTTGGAATGAGATCTGGTGACCGTGGAGGCCATTTGAGTACAGTGAGAGCTATTAAATGATGATCAGTTTGTACTTAAGGCCCCAGAATGTTCCAAGAAAATATTCCCAACACTATTATACCACCTCATTAGCCTCAGCTATTGAAACAAGGCAGGATGGAGCCTGTTACGGTCAGCTTTGATGCTATCATCTGAATATCACAGCAAAAATCCAGAATCATCATTCTGTTGACTGCTTTCGGTGAGCTTCACTTCCTGTTCTTATCTGACAGGAGTGGCACCTGGTGTGAGTTTCCGCTGCTTTAGTCTGAGTGGTTATTGGAGCTACTGTTGCCTTCTTGTTAGCTCAAAGCAGCTGACCATTCTCCTATCACCTCTGACATCAACAAGGCACTTTTACCCAGAGAACCGCCACTCACTGGATGTTTTCTTTTTTCAGTAAACCCTAGAGTGCAGATCAGCAGTTTCTGGTACTCAGACAAAGCCTGTCTGGCAGCAGCAACCACTCCACCGTCACAGTTACTTAAATCGCTTTGTGTCTCTGGTGTGATACTGAGTTTAAACTTTAACAGGTTGTCTTGACCATGCCTATTTGCCTAAATGCTGATTAGATATTTGTGTTAATAAGTAAATATGTGAAGCAGGTGTGCCTAATAAAGCAGCCAGTCGTCGTCTTTTTTTTTTCTTTCTTGACCAAAAATAAAAGGTTGGATTTTTCTTTTGGTCCACTGATTTAGTTGAGGAAATAAACGTGATTGTCTAATGCCCAGCTGATATGCTTTGAGTAACACTTTGTTTCACATCCTTGCTGAAGTTTCCAGTGTTGCTTTTGTGGTCCTACGGACTGTGAACGATTCTCTCTTCCTCCAAGGATGGTTATGTTTTGTGTTGTAGGAATTTTATCTCGTGGGTTTAGTGTCTGCGATTTTCACATGTTGCTCTAGCAATATTGAGCAAAAGACAACACAATGATGTGTCTGCTTGTTTTGAGTTAAAAGAGATTGTTTATTTGTAGGTTAGATTGACATTTGAAGATGGTAGATGTACTGGTTTTAAGTTCATAGCTTCCTGTGCTTGTTCTTTCTGTCCCTTCAGGTTCTTGGTGGTTCTTCAGGTCTGTTTGGCGGCCATGTGTCCCAGCCCCAGCCCCCTCACCTGCAGCAGCAGCAGAGGAACCTCTCGCTACATGAGTACATGAGCATCGGCCTGCTGAAAGAGGCCGGCATCTCTGTGCCGGCCGGCATGGTGGCTAACTCCTCAGAGGAGGCGTACGCTGTGGCCAAGCAGATTGGTAAGGCTGAACAAGTCGTTAAAAAGCAAGTTCACTTTCACTGTCCTTTACTCCAGGACAAAAAAACAAAAACTGCAGTTCTGTTATTTAGAACAGTTTAAGTGATTTTTAAAGACAATGTCCAACCTCAGTCAAGATGCACAGCTTCACACTTTAATGGATAAAGAGGCACTGACATTTGAAGATGTTGTATATGCATTTAATTACAGAAGCCTTGAGAAATCCAGCAGGCTAAACTTCAAATGCTTTGATTGTGAACTGACTGTGGCAATATTAACGTTTTAAATAAATCATAATACAACCTTGTCTGTAAGAAGCCAAATTACATTAGTACTGTTTCTATTCCAAACAATCTCATATTGTATAAGCCATCACTTTCACAAACTTGACTTAAGTACAGAAGTCTTACATTTAGAGTCGCTGTAGTTAAACTCTGTTCTGTCAAACTTCAGTCTGGAGACCTTTGAATTTAGCTACCATGTTAAATGCAGTGGGCTTTAGTAGTGTTATGAATGTTTTATCTGTTAATGGTCCACCACCAAGCCACTGTTGTGGATTTACTAGTGTTGATTTTCTTTGGTTGGTCTTATATGAGCAAGAAGAGCACTTTAGAGCCAGAGATGGGCAGTAACGCGTTACTTGTAACGCATTACTGTAATCTGATTA